CATTGCCCCCCCCCCCCCCCCCCCCCCGGGCGCCCCCTCCGCCCCCATCTCCCCCCCCGTCCACCACACACACACACACACACACACACACACTCCCGCCCCCTCCCCACCACCCCCAGCTGCCCACATGTATCTGAAGAACTCAAACAGGATGTCCATGTCTGCCATGCCGCCCAGCCCCTCCTCGTCATCGCTGAAAGAATCGCACGCCTCCTCGCCGTCGCTCTCGTCGCCCAGCAGGCGCTGCAGGCAGGCAGGCGGGCGCGCAGGCGGGCAGGCAGGCAGGGGCGTGTGGGGAGGTGGTGGTGTGCACCATGGAAGCGCAGCAGCCCGCACGCGGCGGCAGCAATGCGGTCAGCAAGCGCGCTCCGGAGGGAGGGGGCGGCGGGCGGAAATGCAACGCAACATCACGGCACGAGTGGCCAGCACACGCGGGCCAGCTGCCGCGATGCTGGTCCCAACCCAGGAGGCGCACCTGGTAGGCGGCATTGATTTTCTGCATGGCAGCGAGGAAGCAGCATGAGCGATCAGAGAGGTTACGCAGCAACTGGCGGGGCCAGGCAGGCAACACAGCCAACTACCCTGCCAGGCAAGCCGGCGGGAGCGCAGACCAGCCACTCGGGCCGGCGCCCGGGGCCGTGTGGGCGCTGGCTCCCGCTGCTGACCTGGAACATGACTGTGGCCTCCTCCTTCTTCTCCTCCTCCACCTTGTCGGGGTGCCATTCTTTGGACTTTTTGAAGAAGGCCTGCGCAAGAAAATAAAGGTCAAGTGGGAGGTGGGGAGGCGGGGGGGCAGGCTCGTCGGGCTGCGCGGCAGGCAGCGAGGGAGGCGCACCTTCTTGAGGGTGGAGTGCTCTGCGCCCTCCTGCAGAGCGACAAGGCGGGGGCAGCAGCAGCGGGGGATCAGGCCAACAGTGTAGCGTATGCGTCGCAACGCCGATTTGAAACGTTTTCCGTGCTAGAGAGAAGGCAAGCTGCTTGAACTGCGGGCGGTGAGTGTGTGACCAGGAGGGAGTGCCAGCCTTTTGCATCCCTCCCGAATCACTGTCTCCGGGGAGCAATTAGATTTGAGCTGAGGCCGGACGCGTGCTGCTGCCTCGTAGGCGGCACAGGATGGCGGCGCGGCATGGCGGCAGCCGGCCTGGGGCGCCCCCAGCGCCTCACCTCCACCTCCAGGATGTCCCTCGCCTCCTGCCGTGTTAGCTTCATCGGGCCAAGCGATCACCGCCCTACAGGCCACGATCAGTCGCCCTGCTGCAGGGGCTCTTGGCACCTCCCACGATACGCCCTGTGCAGATGGAACCTTGACGGAGTGCAGAGAGCAGCCGGGGGGCGCCAATCATGCTGCTCCTGCTGGGCCGTGCTGAGGCGGGTGCCGCCTTCTTCCCTGGCCCTTGGCTGCCCGCGGCAATCGCGAAGCGGTGATCTGATCTGTGCAATTAGACTGTGGTGTTGCCCTGCTGTCACCGGCCTCCCAGCCTCTCCTCAGGACATTGTCTGCCTAAACACAGCGCTCCCGCAGACTGATGAGTAGCGAGAGCACACGCTGCTAAGCTTTTGGGCCAGGCGCCGGCGCAAGCGACACCGGCGTGCCCGGCGGCGGTAGGGCAGGTGGCGGCAAACATGGACCCCCAACTGCTGGCCCTTCTTCCGGATGCCGCCAAGCTTGGCATCCTGCGGCACTTGGGCCAGGAGCCAGCCCCGGTGGACGTCGCACGGCAGCAGCTGCCGGAGCGGCACCAAGCGGCCCCACCGGCGGCAGCCGCACAGCAGCCACAAGGCAACACCGCCTCTCAGGTGCCGCCGATCCTGGCGGGGCGCAGGCTGAGCGGCGGGCTGGCCTTGATTGATGGCTTCCTGGGCAGCGCTGAAGTTGTGGTGAGTGGCCTGTGGGCACCAGCATGGGCTTAGGTGCCCATTCCCAGCCTGCCTGGGGCTGTGCCTCACCGACGCTCCTCCACCCCTGCCGCCTTTGCGCGCCCACGCCTGCAGGCGGCGCAGGCAGAGGCACGGCAGGTGCTGCAGGCCGGTGCCCGTCCTGCCGGCATGGTGACCGCCAGCGAGGGGGCGCCGTGGACGCGGGCCAGCGATCGCGGCGACAAGGCCGCCTGGCTGAGCCTGGGCTCGCTGGCAGCGGCGGAGCACCGCCACTTGGGGGCAGCCGCGCAGCGCCTGCTGTCGCTGCGGCCCTGGCTGCGGCAGCAGGGGTTCGACGTGGGAGGCCGCGCCTCCATCCAGCTGGCATGCTACCCAGGGGCGGGGGCGCGGTACGTGCGCCACAGGGACGCCTGCTCCAGCGTCCCGTACCGCTCGGTCACGGCCATCTTGTACCTCAACCCAGGTGCTGGTGGGTGTGGGTGGGCAGGCGGGCAGGTGGAGAGCAGGTGGCTGTGGGTGTGCTGAGCTGTAAGGCATCAGTGCAGCCAGACCGCCAGGCGGCTTGCGGGCTGCCGGAGGCGAGGCAAGCGCCCCTGCGTCCCGGGCTGGTTTCTTTCCTGTGCGGCAGCCGCAAGAGCTGAGCCATTCCCCTGCGCCTTGTGACGCCTGCACGCAGGGTGGAGTGCGGAGGCAGGCGGCCAGCTGTGCGTGTACAACCACAGCACCTGCGGCGGCGACCCATGCGCCGCAACGGCGGCCGACCTACGCCTGCGCTCGGCAGCCGCTGGCGGCGCGGGGCAGCCACCTCCTGCCAGCAGCAGCAGCAGCCACGGAGAGGACGGCGCTGAGGGCGGTGCCGGCGAGGCGGCGGGGGCAGCGGCACCGCAGCAGCAGCAGCAGCAGCAGCCGCCGCCGCAGCAGCAGCAGCAGGTGTGTAGCGGCTTGGAGGAAGGGCACCCGGCCACCGTGGTGCCTCCCCTGGGCGGCCGCCTGGTGGTGATGGACAGCAGGCTTCTTCACGAGGTGCTGCCGGCCCAGGCAGAGCGGTATGCAGTGACGGTGTGGTTCTCAAGGGCACCACCGGCAGCAGCAGCAGCAGGAGCAGGAGGAGCAGCCGCAGCTGGAACAGGAGCAGCGAGAGCAGCAGCAGCAGGAGCAGGAGCATGCAGCGCAGCAGCGGGCATGGCAGCCCTGGCTCTGCAGGGGCAGGATGCGCCCGCACCGGCAGCGCCGGCAGCGGCGCAGCAGCCGCCGCTCGACGGCGCCGCCGTCGCTTCGCCTGGCTGCATCTTTGTGTCGGTGCCTGCATACAGAGACAGCGAGGCGCAGTGGACGCTGGCAGACCTGTTTGACAAAGCGGCGCACCCCGAGCGTGTGAGTCTGGCTCTGCTTGCCTTGCCATGGCCCCAGGTTGTGCAATGCATGGGCATGTGCTGCGGCAAGGCGTGGACTGCCGCGACAAGGCTGCTGCGCCCCTCCTGCTGCTGCTGCAGGTCAGGGTGGGCATCTGCTGGCAGCTGGAGCTTCCCGAGGAGGGGCACCTGATGCGGGTGGCCGGGGACCAGCGATGGCTGGGCCAGGCATGCGCTGGCTGCGGTTGTGTGCCCCCCCAGCAGTAGTGTTTGCGCCCGCGGCCCCTGTGCACGTGCGGGTGCCTCCTCAGCTCCCCTGCCCCCCACCTTGCCTGCAGGTGCGGCAGGTGGTGCTGCCCGCCTGCGAGGCCAGGGGGCCCTGCAAGGCACGGGCCCTGGCGCAGCAGCTGTGGGAAGGCGAGGAGTTCCACCTGCAGGCAAGCGGCGGTAGCGGGGCGTGGCTGGGCCGCCCGCCCCCCTGATCGCCCCTGCCGGTGTGCCGCGCCGCACGTGTTCTGCTCAATCGGCACGCCTCCCGTGCCATTGTCCTGGGCTCAATCCATCTGCCTGCCTGCGTGCCTCGCAGATCGACAGCCACATGCGGTTTGTGGAGCAGTGGGACGCAGCCCTGCTGCGCATGCTGCGCCAGGCGGAGGCGGCGGCGGGCCACCCGCGGGTCGTGCTCTCCACCTACCCGCCCGGCTACGAGGTGCAGCTTCTGCGGTGGCGTGCTGGTGACTGAAAAATGCCAGCGAGGGTTGCCGGTGCACCTTGCCGATCCTGCCCCCAGCATCCAGGACTGCTTGCCACCTTCTGCTGTTGCATATGAGCAGGGCGAGGGGCCAGAGGCGGTGGTGCCGGCAGCGCCGCTGCCCACCGTGCTGTGCGCCGGCGGGTGGGGCCAGCACGACGGCCTGCTGCGCACCCGCGGGCGCAAGCTGCGGGAGCCGCTGGCGGCGCCAGCCCCCGCGCTCTTCTGGGCCGCGGGGCTGTCGTTCAGCAGGGCCCAGCTGCTGCTGGAGGTGCGGCTGCCGGCTGCTGCTCTCGGGGCGCTGCCTGCTGCTGCGCTGCTTGCCCCTGCACTGCCACTCCTGCACTGCTCGCTCCTGCCTCTGCCACGTATGCCACCCGCCGCAAAGGTTAACTCCAACTCATCGTCACCACCCGTTTCTTCCCACCGTAGGCGCCCTACCCGCGAGATCTGCCGGGGCTGTTCTTTGGGGAGGAGCTGCTGCAGCTGGTGCGCATGTGGCGCCGCGGCTGGGACGTCTTCACCCCGCCGCAGGCAGCAGCCTTCCACCTCTGGAGCCGCAAGCACCGCCCCACCTTCCAGCAGGACCACGCTGGGGATGCGCAGCAGCGGCAGCGCTCCCAGCGGCGCGTGACGGCCGCGCTGGCGGGCGAAGAGGGCGAGGCGGCTGGCAGCGGCGCCGCGCGGCGCAGCCTGGAACAGTTTTTTCGGCAAACCGGCGTGGACTTTCGAGGCAAGACCATTTCTGACCGCGCTCGCAATGGCGGCTTGCCTCCGGGCGCCTTCCTGGCGCCAGTCCCTCTTGATGGCAGCCCATGATGCATCTATGATTCAACACATGTGCACAGGCAACAACAGATTGCAAACCCACAAACCCATCACATTCAGCTGCTTGTGTACACGGCATGGCTGCCTAGCTTCTTCTTAGATGGTTGCTGTCAGCTTTCCTCAGCGGCGGGGCAACCCAGCAAGAGCAGCCCCGTGCCAGGACAGCTATGAGAAGAGCGGCCGATTTCCCCACAGCTGCAGAGGGTACGCCCGCGGCTTTTCCTGCGCCTCCCCGCTACTTTTCGGCTTCGGTGCCAAGGTGGCCCATGTAGCTCCCTGCAGCAGCCCGACTGTGCATGTGGTCAGCCAGCCCAGCCCGGCTGGGGTCTGGCAGGGCTGCAGCCGCGCCGGGACCTCGCAGCATCCTCGCTGCCAGCTCTGCACCATCCTCGCCGCCAGCTCAACCCGACGCACCTGCTTTGAAGATGTGGTCGTGCTCGGAGGCCAGCGGCTGGCGGAAGCCCACCACCTCTGCAGAGAGGGATGGGCGCCCAGCCACCAGCATGTTCCTTGCGTCAGTAGGCAGTCTGTACTCTAGACCATGCACAGCGGGCCCGCGGCTGGCGGCCAGCTCATGCCAGCTCATGCCAGCTCACCGCTGATCAGCATCTCCTTGGGGTCAAAGCACAGCAGGTTGAGGCCGTACAGGTCCTGCTCCTGCACACACCCAGGCGCCCGACAGGGTGCGCCATGCCTCGCCCCGAGAGCATCCAGCACCAGAGCCGGCGGCGCACACATCACGCACCAGCGCCCGCGGTCCCCGGCGTGCATGCTCGCCGTGCATGCTGCCAGTCGCCCCTAGCTGCAATCCCCCAGACCCAGCCCCAGCCCCAGCCCACCACGCCCACCTGCTGCGTGTCCTTCTGCACGCCGCGCACATGCCAGTGGATGAAGGCCTTGTTGGAGGAGGGCGTCACGGCGATGTCCACATCATTGCTGCGCACCTCCCACACCCTGAACACATCCTTGACCTGCACCGCCACACACACATGCGGCGTGGGGCAGCACGCGAGGCAGGCGCCAGCCAGCACGGCGAGCCTACAGCGCTGCGCTGTGCTGCGCTGCGCTGCTTGCCCTCGAGGTGGCAATAAGCAGCGCTCCGCCCAGCCCCTCAGGGCGCCGCCACCCCCACACACCCTCCCCGCCACTCACCATCTCCTCCCACTCCTCCCTGCTGCTCTTGCGCTCCCCGAAGATGGGGTTGATGGTGTGGCTGGCCGGAGACATGAGGTCGTGCACAGCACGCACGTCGCCGGTGCGCCACGCCTGCGGCGGCCACCAGGGAGCAGCCAGCGCAGGGGCAGGGGCCGCAACGGCTGTGGGGAAGCATGCGGCAGACGCAGGGCAGCCTTGCACAGCTGGGCAGGCTCCCCCAGGAAAGGCTGACGGCAGGGACGCTTGCCTCGTTGAAAGCCTCTGTCGCCGCCTGCATCTTGGCCACCTGCCGGTCGCTGAGGTCCAGCTGCGGCCCCACCAGTGCCTTGGCCTTGAAGTCGGTGTACAGCTGGCTGGGGCGGTGCTTGAGCTGCGGGGCGCGGGGCGGGGCCATACATGCATGTCCGCCAGCACCAGCGCCAGCAGCAGCAGCAGCAGCAGCAGCAGCAGCGTGTCGCAGACAGGCGGCGATGCCTTGGGCGGCCTGCAGTCTGCGGCAGCCCATCCCATGCCACCGGCGCGGCAAGCGGGCTCCGCGCTCGCATCTGGCGCCCACCCACACGCCCGCATCCGCCGCTCACCCGGAACTTCTTCTCCTCGCGCGTCAGCTGGCGCAGGAACCAGATGTGGCGCACCTTGAGCTGCTCGTCCAGCACAAGGCGCCAGATGCCTGCACGGCGGGCAGTGGCGGTGGTAGGGTGTGGGGTGTGGGCGGGCACGCCGGGAAGTGGACATAACATCAGGCTGCCGACATGCAAGCAGCGCATGGACGCTGCTGCAATGACCGCCGCTGCTAGTGAGGCGCGAGCAGCGTATACATCAGCTGCCGCAAGCGCTGTGCGTGACTCCCGCTTGCTCGACGCCCCGGCCCACCCGACAGGCTGGTCATGCTGCCTGAGGCGGGCAGCTGCTCATCAAACTTCTCCGCCCTCATCAGCACCTCCTGCGGCGGGCGGGGAAGCCAGGGCCCGGGGGGGCTCGCATGCGGGGTGCCGTTCGGCCGGGGTACGGCAGGGCGCGGATGGGGAGGCAGGATCCTCGGGACCCATCGGGGATGTGCATGTGTGCGGTCCAGCCACGGCAGCACGCGTGTGCGTGTCGAGGGCGCCTAGGCAGGGCAGGGCGCACCTCGTCGTCCCACAGGCAGTACACGCTGCTGGTGGCGGGGTTGACGGCACGCACCACGGGCAGGTGCTTGAACTGGTAGTTGGAGAAGTACTGCAAAGAAGTACTGCAGGGTGGCGGTTGAGCGTAGTGGTAGTGGGGGTGGTGGTGCATAGTTCACACCAGCAGCTTGGCGGGCAGCTGCTGAAGGGCCTTGCGACGGATCCAGCCGGGGGCAGCATGTGCCGGGCAAGACCGATACCTTGCCGTGGAAGCGGGCCACCGCCTCTGGGCCCACTTGGTCGCTCTCGGTGACGATGTGGTCTGCGGGGGGCAGGGTTCCACGGTCGCCTTGAGATGGATGCCGCCATGTACCTCGGGGCGTACCTCGGGTTGTACCCCAGGGCAGCGTCCGGTGCGGGCAGCCGGCCCAGCTGGTTGAACCCACCCGCATGCTGCACCACATCGTCGGCCAGCAGCGCCTTGAGGGACTCGGCGTCGGCGTTGAAGAAGGCGTCTGCACGGGCACGCATGGAAGGCGTCGCCGCTCAGGTGGCGGCGGCGGCGGCGGCAGCGCTGCTCCCTCGGTGCCCGATCCCTAGGCCCTGGGCTGCTTACCGTCCCAGCGGCCCAGAACCTCCAGCATCTGTGTCTCTCTGGAGCTCTGCCCTGCGGCTGTGTTGGCCTCCAGCAGGTCTGCCATTGGCGTGCTGTTGGCAGGTAGTCGAGTCGTGGCAGGCAGTCGAGACCCTGTCCAAGGTTGAGGTGGGCCAAGCCAGAAAATGAAGACGACCACGGTCCAAGGCAGAAGATGAAGACACGGGCCAGCTGACAAGGACAGCCGACCAGGTACTCTGAAGTACTGTGAAAAGTCCGAACCTAGGTGCAGCTTGAAGCATGCCGCTATGCTCACCCAGCAGGTTTCCTGCCGCTGACGTCGCTCGCCGCTCCGCCGCCGCTCCGCCGCCGGTGGGGTGTGAAGCAGCGTTCGTTTGATGTTACAATCAACTTTCGTCATTGTGTTGTGATTTCATCAACATGAAGGATGGAATGCGGCACCAACAGCAACACCAACGCGAATGCAACAAGTCGGCGAGAGCGTGCCGCCGTGTTTGGGCGCGCCGCGCCCTGCCGCCGCCCGCTCTACCAGGCCAGGCGGAAGCCGCCGGGCGTCTCGTGCTTGAAGTCGACCTGCATGTCGGGGCGCTGCTGCTTGAGGCGGGTGATGGCGCGCAGGCTGGCCTTTGTCCACCGGTCCTCCAGCCGCAGCCAGTAGCTCTTCTCCAGGCGCAGCAGGCGCAGGCTGGGCACCCGCGCCACGCTGTCGGCGCACTTGGCGCTGATCTGCGGCGGCCAGAGCACGTGTGTGGGAGCGGGGGAGGGTGTGTGGCGGGTGGAACCCCACGCGCAGGCATGGTGCTGCCATACCGACAGCAGCAATGCTGGCATGCCACGCGCTGCCGGATTGTGGCGCCAATCTTCACAACGACACTTCCAGCAATCATCAGACATCCACACACACAGGGCATACGGCGCCAGTCCCCCCACCCCCACCCCCACACACACCTGCAGGCTGTGGTTGTACGCCAGGTCGAGCTCCTGCAGCGAGGCGGCGTGCTGCAGCAGCAGGCTGGGCAGCTCGCGCAGGCAGTTGGAGGAGAGGCAGACGTGGGTGAGGCGCGACAGCCACTGCCGCTTGCGCGCCTCGTACGCAGCCGCGCTCATCTGCAGGAGGGGCGGAGAGGGGCGGGGAGGGGCGGGGAGGACGGCCTGAGCGGCGAATTGGCCAGGAGGCTTGCGTGTGGTGTCGCTCTGGGCGGCGGCAGGCACGAAAAAAATAGCAGAACAAAAGCAGGAGGAGCATGGCAGCAGGCGGGGCAGCCCCACCTTGGGCGCCTTGGGCGGCAGCAGGCAGGACAGCGCGTTGTTGGCCAGCCACAGCTTGCGCACGGGCATGCTGAGGACCCAGGGGGGCAGGTGCGGCGCCAGGCCGGTGTTGGACAGCTGGAGGTTGGTGACGGCGGTGAGCGCGGTGATGGCGACGGGCATGGCGGGCAGCTGGCAGGAGTCGACGGCCAGCACCTGCAGCCGCGCCAGGCGGCTGATGGCGGGCGGCAGGCGCGCGCAGCGCCCGCCCACCAGCCGCAGCGAGGTGAGCTGGGTGAGGGAGGCGCAGAGCTGGGTGTGGAAGCCGGAGGGGGGGAAGTAGGCCTCGCTGCGGCAGCGGGAGGGGGCAGGTGGTGTGTGCGTGTG